TAAAACTGCAAACTAACATAGTAGCTCTGTAAAACTTATAAGTGGACCTATTTAATTTTATATTTTATTGTATTTTATTATATTACATTTATTAATATTACTGACATAATAGCTCTGTAAAACTAATAAGTGGACTTATGTTGTCTTGAAGAATTATTATTATTATTAAGTTCGAGTAATAAGCAATATATTTCCATTTTTATTTGCCTACCTTTTCCAAGGACGACGAGAGTCATGATGTTAGCAGAGTACCATTTCTGGTGGAATTTGAGTAATTCTTTCCGAACGTCGATTCCTTTTGCCTTCGGTATGGTTTCTAAAGTCTCTTTGTTGCCTAAAAACAAAAGTAACATAATTATTAAACAAAGATAGAACACTTAGTAGAAATTAACTTCAATCCGGTTGGATTCGAACCAACGTCTCCCAGCATCGTCCAGACGCTATGCCAACTAAGTCACGAAACGAATCGGAAAAAGTATATAATTTTTTTTCTATGATATCAAATGGCTGGGCGAACCATTCGAGTGTCTGGTGTTGACGACACGTCTACCCATAACAATTACAATGCCAGTCAGGGCTTTAAGGCAAAGTATTTATTTCAACTGCAACTGTTTTTTACAGAAAATGTAAGAAGGGGGGCCCCGAACCATTTTGCCATCGGGCATCCAGACGTACGACGGGATATCATCCTTACTTGGTCGATATACCCTTCAGGCGTGCTAAGCGCTTTTTGTCATCTTCTATTATGCGTACGGCCCAGAAATGGAATTCTTTGCCTGCGGCTGTGTTTCCGAGCACATACAACCGTATCTTTAAGGTACGACTGAATAAGCGCCCTCGTATAGTATAATAACCAGAAAGAGACGCGAACTGTCATTTAATTTGTTTGAAAACTATTCTGCCAAATCTTTACGGTGACAACTGCGATCCGATTAGCCCTTCAAATCGATCAGTTTAACTCGACCTTTGCTATAATGGACGAAAATTAAAAAATTACATATTTAATATTCAATTACCGATGAAATGTGATTCCGTTTGTTTTGTAATTTGATGTTTTGCTGTTTTTCCCACACATCCCGAATGGATCAGAGATCATTGTTAGAGATATTATCTTTATTACAATAAGAATATTATAATACAGAATATTTTTGGAATATATGGAGACGTACACACAGCTCAGTTGTTGGGGCTGTACTATTTCAGCTTTCTAATTTGTGATTTCAGCGCAAACGAGAGTTGATATTTAAAAGTGATATAATGGCCCTTATTTCGTCTTTATTTCTGGTTATATACTCGATGAGGAGACCTAACAAGTACTGTATTGGTGTTTGCATGTGATATAGAAACACTAACATCAGCACCCAGCTATCAATACCATTGTTATTACAAAGGAAATAACTTTAATAGAATGATAAGGCGTAGGCGGCACGTGTCGATAAGAAGAATATTGTTTGTTGTAGTTTTTAAAGTCATTTTGACATGTGTAACGACAGTAATATTGTTTTGTAGATAAACCGTTGAGAGTTCTTCAATAGACCAGGGAATATCGATCCCTCCTTGCTTGTTACTCAGAGTATCATAAAATCCTAGATATCGGTTAGATGATCTATGATGACCTATTACTTTATTACTCTATGTGAGAAAGCTTTGCCGAATAAAACTGAGAAATGCTAAAGTCATTATGCTCATTTCAGTGAATTCAAAACTTTAAAACGCTCCCCTGTAAACTTGGCAATTTCAACATACGATACTTTACGTAGGAGGGGTCGATATGTGGCGATATTCTACTCACGGATATATTTCTCGCCGACAACCAGACAACCTTGTTTTAGTAGCAGTAGAGGTCCGTGTGAAAGAGTTCGTCCAGGGCAGTATTGCCACCTCACCTATTTCTGCCGCCAAGCAGTAATGTCAGCATTACTGTGTTACGGTTTTGAAGGGTAATGATGCTGGTGAAATTGCAGGCACATGGAACTTGTCAACTTATGTCTCAGGGTGACGGGCGCCGTGGTAATGCCCCTCAGATCTTTGCGATTTAAAGCTCGTGAGTGGCACTGCAACTGTTATGGACAGGCGTGTAGCTTACTATCAGGCGCATGACTTGTTCGTCCTGTCACTTGATATTATATTTTTTTTAAACCCTTGACAAGCTGATTGTGGTGGGTAAGGTGGAGGGAAAGAGACTTCGCGGTCGATGGTGGTCAAGTGACCGGCCTCCCTACAACAGCTGCCCTGAGAGAGACCGAAGACAGAACCAGATGGAAGATAACCGTCCATAAAGTCCCGAAATCCCCTCGGGGACACGACCTTCTCCAATGGACATAACGATTAAGAAGAAGACATATTTGGAGGAAGGCAAAAAAAGGTTCAAATCTCCCGTCAAGTCACCCAGTTAGATACCTTTACAGCTACCAGCCTGGGCTGTATATCTTTGTATTAATAATTATAACAAACTAGTGGAGTAATTTCACAAAAAATAATTGAATATCAATTCAATACAAATTTAATTGTAATAACTGTTTCTACCAAAATTTATTCTTTTTTATAATACCGAGTGACGGAACGAACAGTCATGGTGGTAAGGGACACGCCTGTCCATAACAGTTGCAGCGTCACACAGTGCTTTAAATCGCAACGTTCTTAGGGATCCTGCCACCTCGCCTGTCACCCTGAGACATAAGCGGACAAGTCCCATGTTTCTGTAATTTCACTGGCACCCTTACCCTTGGCAAAGTCCCTGGTTAAGAGGTTTTACAATGTCCCTTATATTCTCATTATTCAAGGGGAGTTCCTATCGCTCATCCAGTGTGACAAGGACATAATTGTACAGATTTGTATTCCGAGTTAAGGTCGAAAAGAATTACAATATTATTTAAAATTGCACCATTATTTACAGTTATACTATTATTTACAATTACACTATCATCTACGGATCTCATCGAGTATATAACCATAAATAGAGACGAAATAAGGGCCATCCATCTCCGGCAACTCATCAGGCCAATGGGCCTTATATTACTTATAAATATCAACTCTCGTTTGCGCTGAAATCACAAAGATCTGAGGGGCACTACCACTGCGCCCGTCTCCCTTAAGTTGACAAGTCCCATGTGCCTGTAATTTCGCCAGATCCCTTCCAAACCGAAACGCAGTAATGCTCACATTACAGCTAGGCGGCAGATGCCAGTAATCCCCTGGACGAACTCTTTCACAAGGAACTCCACTGCTATACAAATATTTCCGAGCAAGTTTGAAAAAATTTACTTTTTGAATGTACTCACCTGTACCAAATTTGTGATATGCGTGTTTAGGATTTGCTGTACTCTTATTGAGTTGATCCAAACGCCATGTGTCTGAAGATGTGTTTTTCTCGTGCTCAGAGTTGACAGCACTTAGTTCACGCTCCGTTGCCGACTCCGTGAACAGGGGGGATATGAAGAATTCCGCGAAACTGACACAGGGAATACAAAACTTCGAAGAAACACAAAGATAAATTCCTTCGGACCGTCTGAATTCGAACCAAAGTCTGTTGTCTCAACGTGGCAATGTGACTGGTTCGAGGCCAGTTGGGTTGAGGGAATTTTGTTTGTAGTTTGTCAGTATTGATTTATATAGGAAATGATGAAAATATTGTTTTCGGATCTAAATGTAATAAAAATCCCAAGCAGGCATAAGACTGCAGTACCAATAATGTGTTTATCTACACCATCGAGTATATAACCAGAAATAGAGACGAAATGACATTTAATTTGTTTGAAAACTATTCTGCCATATCATTACTGTGACAACTGCGCTCCGATTGGCCAGCCCGAGTTCGAAACTATTGACGAGTATCGTCAATTGTTTCACTTCAAATCGACCGATTTAACTTGAACTTTGCTATAATGGACGAAAATTGCAAAATTACATATTTAATATTTAATTACCAATGACATTTAATTCCCTATGTTTTGTTATTAGATGTTTTGCTGTTTTTCCCACACCACCGAATGAAACAGCACGCCATTGTTAGAGATATTATTTTTATTACAATAAACACAGAGTATTTATGGAATATACGGAGACGTACACACAGGTCAGTTGTTGGCGCTGTCTATATTTCAGTGCAAAACGAGAGTTAATATTTATAAAAGTGATGTATCACTGATGAGTTACCAGGAATTTGTGGCCTCTATTTCGTCTTTATTTCTGGTTATATACTCGATGATCTACACACAATATCATAAACCCTCTATGATGTGTTCAAAAACCGCAAAATTACGACCAGCATAAAGAGAAACTGTTTTGTTAGAACAAATTTCTTATCTATGAAAATGTTATTATTGCTTCATAATAACATCGAATTCGATTTTATTATTACATTCAAATTTCGAACATCTCTGAAAGATAATACAATTTTATTGGACCTCAATTCTAATACCAGTCGAAACGAAGTTTTATTCAAAATGAAATGTCAATAACAAACAATTTTGACAATTTCACACGTACTTGATATCGATACGATAGTTGGGGCCGATTCTAGTTGGTCTATGAATTAAAAATAAAAACTACGGTTGTGTGACATGCGTGAGAAAAGTTTTTATTTGCCACCATTTCGCCAGTCGTGTCATGCGGTTCCTGAACACATCACAGAGAGCTTAAAATATGTGTGTAGATAAAGCAGTGTATGTAACTGTACATAATTAGGCATTAAAACGCTCGTGTGATGTTTTTACGAAACTCTCTTGTCGGCTCGTTCCATAAACCCACACTCGTGTTTTAATGCCTTTCAATATACATAACAATCACATAAACTACTATTTAATTTATTCTAATTGTCATTAAGAAATCAATGATGAAATGTAACAATAATAATAACGCACACAGTCAAGCACCGCACTAGAGAAACCCTGTATCGCGGGTGCCATTTACACACACACGCACACACGCACACACGCACTCACGCACACACAGACACACACAGACACACACAGACACACACAGACACAGACACACACAGACACACACAGACACAGACAGACACAGACAGACACAGACACAGACAGACACGGACAGACACGGACAGACACGGACAGACACGGACAGACACGGACAGACTCTGACAGACACGGACAGACACGGACAGACACGGACAGACACGGACAGAC